TATTAGTGACTATACTTGTCTAGACTTATCATTGCAGAGAATGTATAAATACAATTAAAAGAATTCAGTATCGAACCGCAAAATTGGGTTAAGACACTAATCACCTAATATACGACAAACGTTTAATAAGTTCAAACTACCCTTCACTTTCACCTTTAACACGGTTACCCTTTAAATTCGCCATGTGCGTAGTGACCTTAAACAGCGTAGTGAACTTATACAATTAGTACAAAACAATTAATAGAATTGATTGAATCAATTTTGTAACGTCATAAATCGGACCAGTTTATTGAGGATCTAAGTAAAGTCTTAGAACAAGCCGAATAATTTGAATAAGAAGCCAAAATTTTTTTGAAACATGATAAAAGACATAACTTTTTTACAAATACTGTGGTAAAAAAACTGGAATTCTCTATTAACTGCCACATTAGACTACCACCATCGCTAAAAAATTTTAATGGTGGACTTAGATATTGGCTGGCGTAGCTATAATTGCAAATTTTTAAGAAAATAGGGATCCTTGCCTGCTTTTTTCCGTCAGATGTGCATTTTAAACAAATAGGATGTGCATTTTAAACAAATTTTATACCGTGAATTGTTATTGTTGTTCTTTTGATTTCAATTAATTTGTAAATGTATACATGTAATATACATATACACGCATATAATAGTCGTGCTAAAAGCCGTTTTTATTGTTTTACATGGTTGTGTGAATAAGCTTATTTTCGTTATTTGCACGACGGTCGTGCAAATAAGTTTATTTTCGTTATTTGCACGACGGTCGTGCGAATAAGCTTATTTTCGTTATTTGCACGACGGTCGTGCGAATAAGCTTATTTTCGTTATTTGCACGACGGTCGTGCGAATAGACTCGGCCGGTTTACGTCAAAAACATTTTGAACTTGAAGTGAAAACTATATTTTTAAAAAATTTAATGTGTTTTTTAAAACATTAGATTTATTTTGAAAATATGTGAAGAAACTTTAAATAACTATCAAAAGTAAATTTATTATTAGATGATTCTTTGTAGTCACTACACTACAATGTAGTGTAAAGAAGTTAAAATGTTAAGATATTTTTATTTGAAAAATGAAAAATTAAATTAATGAGTATGACTTATTAATAATGAGTATAACTTATTAATGATGAATATAAATAATTAACAATTATAATATAATAAAATTATATTGTAATTTATAAATAAAATTTCTTAAAAAAAGATTTTAAGTTAAGTATTTATTTTAATAGTTATTAATTGTTAATGTTAAGGCTTAAAGTTACAGGGTTTCTCACCTCATTTCGACATTGTATCACTACATTTCAACACTTTTGCATTCAATTTCGACATTGTATCACTACATTTCGACACTTTTGCATTCAATTTCGACACTGTTGCACCACATTTCGACAATTTATAAACACTCTATTTTGAATTAAAGTATTTACATTTATGATGAAAATTTTTGTTAAATAATAATGGGTTGAATTCAATCGGGACAATAAAATAATTAACATGGCTATTTTTTAAGTCTGCATTATTTAAAGTGGGTACTGACTTCATGAATATGGTTTCAGTATTTTTTTGGATATACGTAAAATATATTGGTAAAATAACACGGCTGTTTCACGCAATGTAAAATTGGGCCTTACGTCACGAGTTTAGCAAAAACAATTTCCGCATAAAAAGTTTTTTAAAAATTTCGGCATATAAAGTATAAAAATTCAATAACTTTAAAGTAATGGTTTTTTTTTTCTATAAACGTTTTAATCTTCGAATTAAAAAAATTTACAAGAATTATCTTTCTTCGTTAAATAAATATTTACCTTAAGCGAAATAAAAATAAACATTGTTAAAATATTTTAAATGATTTTGGATGACTTTTCTGTTTTTGGCGATTTTTACGGAAAACCTGTCTTGGGCCAACCAAGATTCCCTAACATAGCTACATGGTTGATGGTTGAAATTTAGAACACTTATCATTGAATGTCTATTCTATCAGATTCTTACGTCATCCGTGTGATTTTATTACTATAACTTAATTTTTAAGGCATTTATATTTTTAACTTTATTTTTTTTAAATGTAAAACATTAATTTTTTGATGGATGACGTAAGTTATTAAAATTTCAACCTTTTATGTAGAGGAAAATATAAAAATTATTTTATGTACCTCTTGCTATGTTAGGGAATATGCTTTTAAACTTGGCATGTTTTACAACAAATTTTACACTTAAACTTGTGTTAACATTTCTAAGCGATGACGTAACTTTATTGCGTTACTTACCAAGCTATTTGCTAACGAATTTTATTGAAATAACTGTTTCGGCGAGACAAATTTTGGAGGTATAAAGTAAAAAAAGTTACGCGGAACTTTAGAATAACATAAGAAATTCAGCAAGATTATGAAGAGTATTTTCGTTACGGAATGGAAATAAAACTAATATCAATTGCATGTACAAATATCATTTACTACTTATATAACATATACCAGTATATTAACTTAAAAAAATATATTTATGACAATCCACAAAAACAAGTTTATTTAATTGCCTTTATTGTTATGTATATTTTTTAAAAAAATGATGTGTTATTTTTCTACAGAAAAGTATTAATATTATTTTAAGTGTAAAGAAATTATACGACCGAAATCAAAAACAAATAAAAACTTTTTTTTTAATTTTTAAAAAAAAAAAAGTTTTTTTTAAAAAAAAAAAAAATATTTTTTGGGTATTTTTTTCCCCGCTAATTGTAGTGCCTGTATCAGTTCACATTTGGTGTAAATAGAGTTTATATGTTTTAAAATTGGTCTAGCTATGTTTATATTACATATAACTCAACATAAATAAAATTTTTCCGATTATTTTTGCTAAAAAGTACCATAAAAATTTCAAAATTTAGCCAAGTTCGTCGTTTATCGCATTTATTCGAAAATCAAAGCGGTATTTGAATATTTCATTAAATGTTAAAACATAAAACATTTAATTGGTGTTCATATTCTTTTTACAGAACGAAATTATCTTAAATATTTCAAAAGTTATGCAAGTTTTAGTAACACCCTTTAACTAATTATTTTGAAAAAATAACAAGAAGCCGTAAGTCCACCTTGAAACAGCCGTGATAAACATTGTGGATATTAATTATTTCAAGTTACCATAATAGTTGTTTTTAATTGCTATATTCATTATTTTTATTGACCGGATAAATTATGTCTAATTGCCAAAAAAAAATATCTACGCTTTGGAAAACATCCCAACAATACATAATAAAATTGTCATCAAACTATAAATTAATGTTATAATTTTTTATTAAGTAAATAAAAGCATTTGTCTATTCCATACAACAAGAGTTCATAATAAAAGCTTAAATATCATATTAATAAACAGCAACGTCGAATCAAACAATCATCAATAAAAACCGTTCAAGGATAATTGAGTCTTACTTAAATGGAAACTCACCATCAGAAATTGCAAATGTTCTTGGATTTAAACGAACTACAATCTATTCGATTATAAAAAAATATAAAAAATGGTTTGCAGATAGAACGGCAATTAAAAGGTGGTTCTAGAAACAGAAAATTAACAGAAGAATCCAAGGTACTAATCAAAAATTGGATTGATGATGATTGTGGAATAACTCTTAAGGAAATTAAACAAAGACTTTTTGAACGAAAATCCATTTCAGTCAGTCAACCTACTTTAGCAAGATGCATTGATAGTTTTAATTATACTTTGAAACGTGTTCATAGTATTCCAGAGAGAAGAAACTCGGAAGATGTTATTAATGAAAGAGCTTCTTATGCATAAAGATTCATGAACATTTCGTCTTCTATGAATGACAATAAAATATTCTTTATTGATGAAGTAGGATTTAGTCTTTCAATGCAAGTTAGAAGAGGACGTTCTTTAGCTGGAAAGAGGGCCACACAAACAGTGATTAATATACGGTCAAGAAATATTTCCGTCTGTTATGCAATGAACAAAAACGGAATTTTGAAATATGAAGAACAAACAAGAGCATTTAATACAGAATACTTTTTAGATTTTATTCGTTTAGTATTAGCACAATTAGCTGTTAATGAAGTTGTTGGAGCTATCTTAATTTTAGACAATATTCGTTTTCATAAAACTGCTGCTGTTCATAAAAAGTACGTGCTGGGCATTCTTTGATATTGTTTACCTCCATATTCCCCCCTTTTAAACCCTATTGAAAATATGTTTTCTGAACGGAAACAGTTTATCAGAAGATGTTCGAATAGGACTGAGGAGGAAATGCTTGAAAATATACAAAACGGTGCATTGAATACAACTAACACAAACTGTAATAATTATTTTGCGCACATACAGGTAGGTCTACCTTAAAAACTACAAAAAAAAGTGGTACCCTATAACTGAATATTGGAAACTTCTGAAGTGCTGAAACTTTCTATACTTAAAAACTACTTTAAATGAATGTCTTCCCTGACCTTTTTTTTTAATCTATAGTTTTTAGTAAAGTTTTGTGATTAAAAGAAAAGTCGCCTTTTTTGATTGTTACACCTTAAAAACCGCAATCAGGTTTTTTGCTTATAATTTTAGAGCCGTTGATCAGGTTCCCTCAAAATTTTGTAAACATTTTGTTTTGGGGCCATAGTATTGGTACACACATTATTGTAAATCTATTATAAATGAAAAGACATAAACAACCCCAAAACTCCTTAAAATTACAAAATAAATCCTTACAAATTACAACTAAATACTAATATACTGTAATTATACTGTAATGCGGCAGTGGTGTAGTGGTAAGAGCGCTCGCTTTGTAAGCGAGAGGTTCGGAGTTCGACTCCCACCACGTCCCTGGAAGTACCGCGCTCAACTTAGTTTCTCCGCGCAGCGGCCTTGCTTGTCAAGGTTCGTGTTTTGGAGTTAAAGAGTTGAGAGAGGGTTGTACCACGAAATACAACAAAAAAATAAAAAACACAAAAAAATGAGTAGCCTCCTCGACTGTAGTGGCCCCCTCGGGCCTTGGGGAGGTGAATAATGTAAAAAAAAAAAAAAAAAAAAAAAAAATTAGGGGATTACTATTAATTAAAATTTGTAGATAGTTTAACATATAGGGCACTCATATATTATAATTTTATTTAATAGGAATATTACTTAAGTTTATTTATGCACACAATTGTTTTATACCATATGTATTTTATAGATAAAAATATAATAAGTAATTTTGCAATGGGGAAACCAAAATTTATTTTAAAAGTGAGAAAAAAACCTTTTGTTGTTGGAAAACCAAATTCAAAGGCAGAGGCTAAAGTCCAGAGGAAAAAAATAGATATGAAAGAACTTCAGATTCAACAAGCTGTGTCTTGGTGCATAGAGCACAAAAAAAGAGGCTATGCTGCTTTGCAAACTGGTATGTTTTCTTTTATCAAAGATAGAGGAACCATTGATCGGAGATTAGATGGAAAACTGCTAATATAAAAAAGCAACATCTGCGAATTTTGACAGCAGAAGAAGAACACTCGATTGTAGAATTCATTAAAAATAAAAACAGGTGCCATCAAGGATTATCGAGGAAGCAAGTCACAAGTCTAATTATTGATGTTTTAAAAATTAGAGACTATTGCAACACCACGAATCAAGGCGGTCGCAATTTTGGTAAACTATCTGATAATGCAAAACATGTTGTTAAGACAGGAAAGTAAGTTTTTTTTTTTAATTTTATTTTACTTCACCTCCTCAAGGCCGAGAAGGCCACTACAGACGAGGAGGTTACTTATTTTGTGGCTATAACCCTCTCTCAACTCTATAACTTCGAAACACGAACCTTGACGAACAAGGCCGCTGCGCAGAGAAACGAGTTGAGCGCGGTACTACCAGGGACGTGGTGGGGATCGAACTCGGAACCACTCGTTTATGAAGCGAGCACTCTACCACTACACCACTACCGCATATAGAGTATCAAGTAGAGTGTTTAGTTACCTCATAAATTATAATGAAAGTTTCTTTACACTAGTACACTAGTTATTTGTTTTTTAACACTATTCCATATAATTCTAACATAACTTTATTATAAACAAAAGTTTTAAATTTATTATAGGCTTGGCCAGTCGTTTTGGCAGAGATGGGAATCAGAGCACCATAGCTTAGTTCTAAAACGACAAGGAAATGTATCTATTAACAGGGCATTGAACTGCACAAGGAGTATGGCTGAGTCACATTTAGGTAAGGAAATAATTAATAATATATTTTTGTACTTTATTTGCTGATATGCTCTATAATTAAAGCGATGATATATAAATGTCTTAGATTAGCCCTAGGGTGCAGTGTACTAGCAAAAACATTTTGAATTTATCTTTTAGATTCGTTGGCTGAAGAACTTATTAAATGTGAGATTTTCACAAACTCAAAAAAACTTGAACCTGGTGTGTGGAAGGGTGATATTGATACAAAAAGAATTTTTAATTTTGACCAAACACCCCAATTCATAAATTATGGGGTTGATGGAACAAATTCCGGGCTTGCGTATGTTGCACGTGGGGACCTTGCAGAAAAATGATTAGGGAGAATCGTGAATCAGTAACAATATGCCCAGTTGTTTCTAACAAACCCTTATAAATAGTAAAATTTAATGGAAAAAAGTTCCTTCAGCAGTTGAATTCCTAATAAAGGAAGTATAAGATATTGTTATTAATGACAATTTTCTCTTTGAAGAAATTCGAAGAGTAAATTTATATTTAAATGAAGAAAAATTGAAGAAACGGAACAATGAGAAAATAGAACTTGAAAAAAGATGAGTAGATATCTTTCGGCATTTTAGAGTAGAACATATCCCAAATAAAAACTTAAAAGTTTTAATAGAAATTTCTTTGTTGTCCGGACACTAATGCTGCTGTTGAAAGAGTATTTTCGCAAAGGAATGATTATTGGAGCAGTGAAAAGTTGCAACTTTCTGTAAAAACATTATATGCCGTCTTAACAGTCAAATTTAATATGAAATTTAATATGTTCGGATGTGGCAACATTATTAGAGGAACATCCTCATTTAGCATAAAAAATCCACTGAAAAAAAATATTTTTTTAAAAGAAGATAAAGTTTTTTATTGTTTTTTCTTCTTTTTTTTTTTTACCTATGAAATACTTGATAAGTGTACTCTTTTTGAACAAAAGATAGTTGGTCCCCTTAAGAAAATTAAAAATGGAATTAGATTTTTGGGCACCACTTTTTAAACCAATCTCTGAAAACCCAATTTGGGCCCCCTAATATTGTGAATCCTAGGCCTAGGCTCTGATGGCAACATTTACAAAAAGCAACAACTTTTGGCAAATTTTATTTAAAATTTTTAAAATGTATGTTTAAATTTTATCACTATTTTAGATTTTTATTGAATAAATTCCTATATAAAAATATATTTTGCATAAAATATTTATGGACTATTATTCTCTTTTTTTCTATCAGCTATCAAGGTAATTATACTGACTTGATCAGATTCAGCATTAATCTGAAGCTAATGAGTTTATAGCTGAAGCTGAAATAACAGCTGCAACCTCTACTTTATAGACAACATAGTTAATGTGATGTATATAAATTATAATAATGTGTTTATTTTTATACTCTAATAGTTATTTTTTTATTTATGATACATTTTTTTTAAACACATGTTTTTTATAATATTTAATACTTAGGAAATACTGACTTTTGCCAAATATTCTTTAGATAAAAATAATATTTTCTTACATTACTCTCATTGAGGTAATTAACAATGGTAATATTTACTCAAATCATTATATTTGTCCCCAGAAGTTAATGTAGTTCTATAATACATAAGTCTCTTACTAATTCTAATAATAAAAAGTTATTACCATTAATATTATAATTATATTTACTAACCTTGTTATTACTAATATTTATCAAAAATACATTCTGGTTGTTGAAGTCACTTTTACTCATATCAGTATGCAAATATTGTCAACAGGTCAGAGTGCACCATGCAGAAATATTCTTTAACATGCTGCAAAATACAAGATATACATAAGATACATATAAAAAAGACTTATTACCTGGAACATAACATTTTATCTTGTTTAACTTACATTAACTCGATTATAATAAATAAGCATATGGTTATAATCTATATAATAACTAATATCTTTTTAGTTATTGTTATTCATGTTAAAGTTATCAAGTTAAATTAAAGTTTTATAACTAACATTTGAATGCAAAAGTTCATATCAATAAAAATTTTTATCAGTATTATAAATATAAGTATTATATTACAAGTATTTACAAGTATAGGTATTGTAAGTGTAAGTTATTATTATGTATATTATGAAATTATTGTTAATATTGCAAGTGTACAATTTTAAATCAAAGTCAAAAAATATTAATGATTAAAAAATGAGGTTGATGCATAACAATAAAGCCATTTTTTTTGCATTTAAACATCTAATTATATCTTTATTTATATCTGACTATTATATCTGACGGTGGGTAAACTTCGTTAAAATCAGTCATTTTGCTTGCATAAAATATAGATATAAAAATCAATGGAAAAGAGTGGATCTGTAAAAACGATTTAAAATCTTTTAATTCCCTAAATAAAACTTATCAATTACATTCCATTTTCCTGTATGCTCTTTTTAAATGTTTCTGACTAAACCAATACTTTGATCAAACTCAAACCATTTATTACAGTCACTAGCAGAAACAAAACTTTATATTTTGATCATTTTAAAAATGAAAACAGTGTCTCAATGGAATATTTACTATATGTTTAATAGTTTCTGGAACATATGTTCAACAAATATGTTAAACTTTGTAAATTTATTTATAAAAAAAAATACAAAAAAATTCTTTTATTATGGTAATAAATAAATGAAATTTTAAAACAACTTCTTTTTAATGGACAAAACACATCAAAAAAAATTTTCTTTTTAATTATTATGTAAATATAATGTATAGAAAAAATATAATGCATAAAAGTTAAATTTTTAATCTTATTTCACGCACAATACGAATTATAAATGGCACCCATCGAGTAAGTTTTGTTATGATTTTTTTAATTATCAGTTTAAACCTTTTGGGAACCTTATGGGAAACCCGTCAAATCCCCAGATTCTTCGGCCCTGATAAAAACCAGATAAAACCCAAACGAGCAAATATGCTAAATTTTTTTACCATATGGGACCCGTCTGGAAACCAAAACACTTACCCGTCAAAATCCCGTTCCCGTAAGCCCAGACAAAAACTGTACGGTACCCGTCTGGCAATGTTGGCTGGGATACTATTGCATGTTTAGTTATATAATAATAACATAATAGTATATGTTATATAGTTATATAGTAATAACTACATAATAAATTGGAGCATTTTTATGTTTTTGATCACCACAATAACATTTTCCCCTAAGTTTATTCCTTTCAAATAATTTTCTCAGTTTGAGTAGCTATATTACGAGCAACTTTTTTTATAAAGTTTATTTTATATTACATTTTTGCGATTTTTCCAAAATAAAAAGTTTGCTTCTTTATAACTTTATAACTTTTTTTTTTTAATTTTATAACTTAAGTTAAGTTTAATTATTATTATTATTGTATATAAAAGGATAAAATTAACTAAAATATTGCTTAATTGAAAGGATTTTTTATTTTACACCTATACTAGTACTATTTTTTCTAAATGATGTAAACTAGTTTTACGTAATACATTCGGTTTTAAGTAATACATGCAATCAAATTAAATTTATTCTAAATTCAAAAAACTTGATGTAAATCTAACGTACTCATGTGTTCTATTAAAAAACGTATTCTTACCTACTATGCGTTGTAGATAAGAATCGGGGTTTCAATAAAAGGCCATATCTATTGTTACTGTAGCTATTTAGGCTGAGTTATGATGATTTGATGATATTAATTTCCAAATTAGCATTTTTAGCAAATGTTCGGCCGAACATTCGTCAAGGTTCGGTTTTGCCGAACGTTCGGTGCATACCTAATGTATATATATATATATATATATATATATATATATATATATATATATATATATATATATATATATATATATATACACAGTAAAATCCCATTAACTCAGACTCTGAACAGGTATATATATTATGTCGGACATAGCGAATGTCCGAGTTATGAAAGGTATAGATGATTCAAGGGGAATTAAAAATTTGTCTGACATAGTAAAAGTCCAACTTATCCAGGGTCCGAGTTAACGGGATACGGGATTCTACTGTGTATATATATATATATATATATATATATACGCATATATATATATACGCATATATATATATATGTATATATATATATATATATATATATATATATATATATATATATATATATATATACAGTAGAATTCCGTTAACCCTGGATAAGTTGGACAAATTTTCGAATTCTCTATACTTTCGCTTAACCTGTATATATATATATATATATATATATATATATATATATATATATATATATATATATATATATATATATATATATATATATACTAGGAATGGATACCAGAGTAGAAAATATTTTAGTGAATAAAGTTTCTTCAGATTGGGAAAGATTTGCTCGTTGCAGTGAATTTGGAAATGATGTGTCAATATATGCAGTTATTGAACATGTAAAGAGTGATGAATATACTAAGGATGATAAATCAAAAATGAAACATTTTTTAAAAAAACTTTACCAATATAATCCTAAAAATTGGAAAATTAGTATTGAAAATTCATTAGCTCATATGGATAGAAATGATATACTACAAGACTTATCAATTTTAGGTATGTTGTTAATTTATCTTAATGTAATAAAAATTTAACTTAAATGTAATAAAAATTTACATATGTTATTAAATGTTCATTAATTCACTATTATAACAAAATGAGTTAACAATGTTAAAATGTTAGGTTTGTGTAAATTCTTAAAAAAAAAGTACAGGGTTAGGTTTTAAAAAAGTTAGGTATTACTCTAATTAAATTGGTAAAAAGAAGAACAGTTGTAGCCCAATATTTTTATTTAGTGATAATTATGGACAAGTATTGTTCTTTGACTTGTTTAAATCTACTATATGGCAAAAAGTAATATAAGAAAGATAGAATAATATTATTTTTGTAGTATATAGAGAGGTCGACATAAGTTAAACGAAACTATGAAAAAAGTGCAAATAACAAAAAATAGACGAGTACTGCTCTTCTTTTCACCAATTCAATTTAAATTGGAATTAACCAAAAAAAAAAAAAATTCACTAATTAAACCTCAATAATTATAATTTTCTCATAAATTGGTTATCAAAGAATTAGAAAACTTTTACTAAATAGTTGATCTTGATGTCATCATATAAATATATACTTGTTTTTCTGTAAGCACAAATATATAAACTTGTATATATATATATATATATATATATATATATATATATATATATATATATATATATATATATATATACATATATATATATATATATATATATGTATGTATATATAAATATATATATATATATAAATAATTATATATATATATATATATATATAATTATATGTATATAATTATATATATATAGTTATATATATATAAATATATATATATATATATATATATATATATATATATATATATATATATATATATATATATATATATATATATAAATTTACATAATTATATATATATATATAATATATAAATATATATATATATATATAATATATATATGTATATATATATAATATATATATATATTTATATATATACATATATATATATATATATATATATATATATATATATATATATATATATATATATATTTATGTATATTTATATATATGTATATATATATGTATATATATGTATATATATGTATATATATATATATATATATATATATATATATATATATATATATATATATATATGTATATATATATATATGTATATATATATATATATATATATATATATATATATATATATATATAAAGTTCCCATATTTCCATTTGCCTGGAGATCTTTGGATTTTAAGGCAATAATAAGGCTTCGGGGAATTTCAGAAAAAAACATTAAATCTTCTTTTTTTGGAGGTTTTTGTTTAATTTTTATAAAAGTTCCATATTTAATACTTAATTTTTGAGTATTTATAGAACTTAAAATGTAAAAATTAAATGTAAAATGTTTTTAGTCATTCAACCATTTTATTAAAAGTGCCCAAGCAACATGTGTTCTCTTCTCTTACACAATATTTAAAAATGTGCGTGGGTTCAAACTTGCGAAAATGAAAATTTCGAACTTTAAATTACATTAAGGTTACAATATAATTTGATTGTCACTAGACAAGAGATTATTCCTTGAGTTTACAGTTTAAAAAGTAAAAGAACTGTTGCATTTTCAATAATGTTGTCCAAAAAAAATGTTTTCTAGTTTAAGAAAGAAAGAAATGATATTGAAGCCAACTGGATCATACATTTTTGACCTGTTATTAGTCTGAATACCCAGAATTAAAAACTTTCAGTTGAATGAAACTTTACAGTATCCTTATTTGGGATCAACATGAAGACTTAATTTTATTTATAAATGTAAAATCCCTTTTTTATGTTGATGAATCATTGTGCCATGACCTATTCTCTAACTTATGAGTTCCTTAGTATCTGTTTATAGTTCTTGCTCTGTTTCAAAAATATGATTGGTCGATGACAGTGAAATTGATAACTGATAAAAGTGATTAGTAAGATACAATTGAATAATTGTTGCAAGATTTTTTTTTTTCTTTTTCATTTAGGTGCCCCAAGAAGACCTAACGGTCTTATCACAGAGCACCACAGAAGTGCATTTAACCAGGAAATTGACACCTCCGTCCTTACCGTGGCGCGACAAGATGACAATAGAGACATGTAATATAATGGAGGATTAATATATGGCTTCCATATAGTTTTTATTGTTTGTAGGTTTTTTAAAATGGAATATTTTTCTTATTCTATATTAAATATACCATTTTAAAAAACTTAATTCATCAAGGCACAATAATTTTAAGACAGCAATAAAATTGAATGAATGTGAACATTTTGCGATTAAAATTAGGTTAATTTTAATTGCAAAAATAGCAATTTGCATTAAAAAAACAAATGACATTAAAAAAAAAACGGTTTTGATTTATTTAATTCTCATGACTCTGGTAACCTCTCTAAGTAATAGGGACTTCCCATTCAGTGAAGCCAAAAGGGGAAAGGAGTCGCAAGTGACAGTTTGTCTCAGGCGAGGGTGCTAAATGAAAAGAAGGCTATAATAGGGTATAATAGGACATCAGGGTTGATGTCCCAGGCGGCATGACGACTCTCGGCGGCCCTGTCCCAATTCATTTTAACAAGCATTACAAAAGTCTCCTCTTTTTCAGCAATTATCCTATGGCAACCCAATATATATATATATATATATCCATTTGTGTGTGTATATATATATATATATATATATATATATATATATATATATATATATATATATATATATATATATATATATTTAAATATATATATATATATATATATATGTGTATATATACATATATATATATATATATATATATATATATATATATATATATATATATATATATATATATATATATATATATATATATATATATATATATTTATTTTATATGCTTATACAATATGCTTATACTTTGGTGAGAAATAAACTAAATACATTTTCGGTACAATTACTATGTCGATAATTTTTAAAGCCTGTTTACACTTTTTGTTTTTATCGGAGACTCAAAAATTGTTTTCAAATTTTTAAGGCCGATTTTTGCAGATTTTGTTTGTTGTTTAGGTTTGAGATATAAATGTTTTGTTGATAACAAATAAAAGGAATAAAGGAGGGGGGGTCTTAATAAGCTTAGTGTGATGGGGGAAAATATTGGAAATTAATAAACAATAGGGGGGGGGGAGGCGTTTATTAAGGACTCGAGTTATCAAGATAATGTTAAATGTGGGTGAATCTTATGGTAATTTACCATCCAAAAATGATGGTTAACTATCTTCTCAAAATCAAATACCATTAATAAAATAGCAATACCATGACAATTAACGATTGCAAGTTATTCTTACCTTAATTGTGTTCAACATCCAAAACTGTTGGCTAATGATCAATAAAGTAAAGTTCATATCATGAAAATTTACTAAATTCAAACCATATTTCAACAGTATTCAAACTAAAACAAAATAATGGCAAAGATAGAACTACAAAAATATAAAAAAAAAAAAATGTCATAAGAGGTAAAAAAACCTTAACTATTTTTCAACAAAACCTCATAACATAAATAAAGTTAATAATAAATATGAAATATTTATGACATCAAAAAAATATCCTCTTTAAATATTCCATCAGTAATAAATAAAAGTATCCTATATTATATATCTATCTATTTATATATATATATATATATATATATATATATATATATATATATATATATATATATATATTTGTATATCCTATATCTATCTGTAATCAGTATAACTTTATAACAAGTATATCTATTCATCAGAGTTCAATATATTTTTAAACTCCATTCTTCGTGGAAATGCAGTCGCAAATTCATCTACAACAATATTTGAGTCAATTTCAACATCTCGATGAATGTGCAACATGGAAATGCCATTTAGGCGATCATCTGTCATAGAATTGCGCAAGGAAGTTTTAATTCTTTTCAGAGCTGATAATGATCTTTCACAAGTACATGTTGTAATTGGTACTGTGCAAAGGATTCGAAGTATAGTAGAAATATTTGGAAACGTATTGCCATCACATTTTTGTAGTGAATCTGAAATAGTTTTAGGAGCTGTTTCAGAGTGATTTTTCCAGTATACTTCCCACATATCCAATTCAGCATAAAGATAACTTGGTTCTGGTAAATCATTATTGTATGTATGAGCAAATTCTTTTACTTTTTTCCTCCACTTTTTGTCAGAGATTAAATTTGATGATATAATGGCGAAACTATCTAGCAATGTTAAATTTTCTAAAAAAAATAAAGAATCTAACTGTGTTAGAATGTGATCAAGAAAAGGAATCGAACAAGTTACTCGATAATATTCACTAATATCATCTACTTGATGATTATCACGTTGTGTTTTTTGTCCACATGTTCTTGGTTTAGATGGCAAGGTATAATTAGTTGCAGCTATGGTAACAGCGTCTTTATATCATTCTGAGTGTGAAATTTCAATAGAGCTCCGAATAGATAAAAGAGTGTTTTTTAAAATTTCCACATCATCACAAGCTTTTGAGAAGTCTTGATCAACTTTTTGCAACGTTTTTGTCAGTGGTCTCGTATACCCTAATAACTTCCTGACTATGATTAACGTGATGATAAACTCAAACGAACAACATATTGTCACATATGCAGAAGCATCACCTCTGGATTTGTAGTTCCATGTCTCATCTTCTTTAATACAAGTAAGAGATGCAATTATAGCTGGATATAATTCAATAAAAGCTTCAAGACCATCAATTCATTCAATCCACCTGGTTCTACAAACATTTATTGTCTTTTGAAAGGATGATGTCGGGCATAGCTCAACAATTTTTGTAGATAGATCTTCTAACCTTTTTGGAGAATTATTAAAAAAATCAGAGACAATCCTAACATGATCCATCATATCTCGAATTGAAGGAATTGCACATGCTTTGGGAACACACAGATTAAGTTGATGGGAATGGCAGTGGATGTATGGAGCTTTAGGAAAATCTTTTAAAATTAATGCTGCTACACCACAAAGAC